CTGCATTACTTATTCATTTCCAATATTGTATAGCACAAAACACATTTTAAATGCATGACAATATTTGAGAAAATGTTTCTAACATCCCCTTCTCCTTATAAGACATTTATGAAACTTCCAGCCAGTTAATTTTAATAGAACTCAACCTAGGAGACCAATTGTTCATTATTAACAATAATGAAAGCTCAAGAAATAAAAAAGCCTTTGCTAATTTAGAAAACTACAAATACTTTCTCAAAAAGCTTATCAAATGTCAAAAGCACACCTTATTTACTTAAGTATACTTATCTAAGTTAAGTTCTATAATCTTAAGGAAAAGTGACATACATTTAAAGGTAGTTTAATTACATAGCTCTATTAATTATCAGAACAAGCACCAAAAGCTTTACAGACTCTAGCATTTGTCTTAATTTATTGGTCAGGTTGAAGGAATCCTAGTGTAGAGGGGAACATAACATGGCATCCTTGGTAGAACTTCTTTCCTGAAATTCAATTCCTTATGATTCCAGTACCGAAGAACTGGGGGGATGATGAACATTATGTTGCTTGAAAATATTTCATTCCACTACTTTCAGTGAAAAGGATGAAAAATTCTTTTGGGAAATATGAAATGGGGAAAATGGAAACAAAACAAATTTTCACTGCTTTATTAATAAAAACCTAACTCTGTTATTTTGATATTCTGCAGGAACGTGACTCTCCTGAGCTTTCAAGATGAGGCACTGTCAGTAAATTCTATGCTGCCAATCTCCAACAGGTTTGGATAAACAGTTATTTCAAGGAGGATCAAAACTGGAAACATCTCTGAACATACAGGAGTTCACATCCACCATCATGAGGAAAAATACAACTCTAAATGAAGAGGAAGCACCCATGTTTATATATCATATATATAAAAGGGAGAATAAAGAAAATGTGAACAGATACAGAATTGGGCAGAGCACATCCATCATTCTGAAGGCACTTTCACTGTCATTCACACAATGGACAAATCATTTGAATTCTGAGTATGTGGATTTCTTGTTGTCATTCATCAAGTGCCCTACTCCCTGGGTCCCATTCACAAACATACATTTCAAGCTTACCTATCCAGAAAAAAATCAATTCAATTTAGTGAAATCAAACTAAAATTTCATAAGCATGCATAAATACTCACAGATACATAAAAATAATCATATGAATTACATTTCAAGAAAAAAATTTAAATGATCTTTATTTTGGGGAGGCAAAATTCATTTTACATCTGACCACTCCAAATCAGAAAAGAAAATTTACTGTTTATAAACACTCAAGCGAATCTTATACATACAAATAAATAATAAGCAGCATTTTCATTAAAAATATAGAAGTTCCATTTACATATGCAAAAGATTACAAGAGATCTATCATAAAATATGGTACATGGAGAATATTGTCACATTATATAATCAGAAATGCAATCATAATGCAGTTTATCACTGCAACTGTGAAGAAATTAATACCTGTGGTACTCAATTGTACATTCTTGCAAGACACTTTCTCAAACAAGGAACAGCAATCTGACCTTTCTCTTCATATTTTTGTGTAAATTCATGTATAGTTACTCATGTAAATCTACTATATTCATGGATGGATGGATATGTCTGTACATTGAGAGAGAGTGAGAGAGTGAGAGAGTGAGAGTGAGAGAGAGAGAGAGAGAGAGAGAGAGAGAGAGAGAGAGAGAGAGAGAGAGAGAGAGAGAGAGAGTGAGAGAGTGAGAGAGTGAGAGAGTGAGGAGTGAGTGAGTGAGTGATGTGAGTGAGTGAGTGAGTGAGTGAGTGAGTGAGTGAGTGAGTGCGTGTGTGTGTGTGCGTGTGTGAGCGCGTGCGTGTGGGCGTGTGTGTGTGTGTGTGCGTGCGTGTGGGCGGGTGTGTGTGTGTGTGCGTGCGTGTGGGCGGGTGTGTGTGTGTGTGCGTGCGTGTGGGCGGGTGTGTGTGTGTGTGCGTGCGTGTGGGCGGGTGTGTGTGTGTGTGCGTGCGTGCGTGTGGGCGGGTGTGTGTGTGTGTGTGTGCGTGCGTGTGGGCGGGTGTGTGTGTGTGTGTGTGCGGGTGTGTGTGTGTGTGTGTGCGGGTGTGTGTGTGTGTGTGTGGTGTGTGTGTGTGTGTGTGTGTGTGTGTGTGTGTGTGTGTGTGTGTGTGTGTGTGCGGGTGTGTGTGTGTGTGTGTGTGTGCGGGTGTGTGTGTGCGGGTGTGTGTGTGCGGGTGTGTGTGTGCAGGTGTGTGTGTGCGAGTGTGTGTGTTCATGTGTGTGTGTGGTGTGTGTGTGCATGTGCGTGCGTACATGAGGGCATTTGTCAATCTGTGTACAAAATGTGGCCGTGTCTACAAGGGCACAAAAAACATCATGCATACACAGAGAACATATACAGAATCAGTCACTAACAATCACTGCAGCAGATCTCTGTCCTTGCCGCCATTCGCATCTGTGACAGTTTGTCAAAAATGATACACAAGCCATCATGACAATCCCATAAAATCTAGACTAACAGGTGGGCAACATATGTTCAACAAATCAAGCAAACGGTCACGAAAAGCAAGTGATCATTCCCTGACTTAAGACTCGCTACAAGTATGATTATCTCCCAGACTTGCTGCACCTCAGAGATTTTATCATCATAACATCTCTAATATTACTACTATTTTCCCTCTTCACATTCACAAAAAATAAATTTAGCAACAATATAATATAAATGAGACGCAAAATCAATAATAATAATAGTATTAGTAATAACAGTAATAGTAATAATAATAATAGTAATAATAATAATAAAAATAATAATAATAATAATAAAAACAATAATAGTAGTAGTACTGGTGGTAGTAGTAATAATAGTAGTAGTAATAATAATAATAATAATAAAAAGAAAAAAAAATCAAAGCAGTAGTATTAGTTGTACTGATAGTATTGGTAATTATACTAAGAAAGAAAGAAAAAAAAAAAAATGATGATGATAATGATAATGATATTGATAATAATAATGATAATGATGATGATGATTATGATGTTAATAATAATAATAATAATAATAATAATAATAATAATAATAATAATAATAATAATAATAATAATAGTCAATCATCACCATTATGATAACAATGATAAAACAAAAATAATAATAATAATAATAATAATAATAATAATAATAATAATAATAATAATAATAATAATAATAATAATAATAATAATAATAATAATAATAATAATAATAATAATAATAATAATAATAATAATAATAATAATAATAATAATAATAATAATAATAATAATAATAATAATAATAATAATAATAATAATAATAATAATAATAATAATAATAATAATAATAATAATAATAATAATAATAATAATAATAATAATAATAATAATAATAATAATAATAATAATAATAATAATAATAATAATAATAATAATAATAATAATAATAATAATAATAATAATAATAATAATAATAATAATAATAATAATAATAATAATAATAATAATAATAATAATAATAATAATAATAATAATAATAATAATAATAATAATAATAATAATAATAATAATAATAATAATAATAATAATAATAATAATAATAATAATAATAATAATAATAATAATAATAATAATAATAATAATAATAATAATAATAATAATAATAATAATAATAATAATAATAATAATAATAATAATAATAATAATAATAATAATAATAATAATAATAATAATAATAATAATAATAATAATAATAATAATAATAATAATAATAATAATAATAATAATAATAATAATAATAATAATAATAATAATAATAATAATAATAATAATAATAATAATAATAATAATAATAATAATAATAATAATAATAATAATAATAATAATAATAATAATAATAATAATAATAATAATAATAATAATAATAATAATAATAATAATAATAATAATAATAATAATAATAATAATAATAATAATAATAATAATAATAATAATAATAATAATAATAATAATAATAATAATAATAATAATAATAATAATAATAATAATAATAATAATAATAATAATAATAATAATAATAATAATAATAATAATAATAATAATAATAATAATAATAATAATAATAATAATAATAATAATAATAATAATAATAATAATAATAATAATAATAATAATAATAATAATAATAATAATAATAATAATAATAATAATAATAATAATAATAATAATAATAATAATAATAATAATAATAATAATAATAATAATAATAATAATAATAATAATAATAATAATAATAATAATAATAATAATAATAATAATAATAATAATAATAATAATAATAATAATAATAATAATAATAATAATAATAATAATAATAATAATAATAATAATAATAATAATAATAATAATAATAATAATAATAATAATAATAATAATAATAATAATAATAATAATAATAATAATAATAATAATAATAATAATAATAATAATAATAATAATAATAATAATAATAATAATAATAATAATAATAATAATAATAATAATAATAATAATAATAATAATAATAATAATAATAATAATAATAATAATAATAATAATAATAATAATAATAATAATAATAATAATAATAATAATAATAATAATAATAATAATAATAATAATAATAATAATAATAATAATAATAATAATAATAATAATAATAATAATAATAATAATAATAATAATAATAATAATAATAATAATAATAATAATAATAATAATAATAATAATAATAATAATAATAATAATAATAATAATAATAATAATAATAATAATAATAATAATAATAATAATAATAATAATAATAATAATAATAATAATAATAATAATAATAATAATAATAATAATAATAATAATAATAATAATAATAATAATAATAATAATAATAATAATAATAATAATAATAATAATAATAATAATAATAATAATAATAATAATAATAATAATAATAATAATAATAATAATTATATTTTAATTAATTTAAATCTAATGAGCAAATTCTAACTATGCAAAACAAAAGTTGGGATTTCCTTTTCTTTGCTCTGTTTGTTACAGGTGCACTGTAATTTTTTTTCTCTCGTTTCTTGTTTAGACATTTACAGGGCAACTAACTAACCCATGAGGTAGTAGTTTAGTGCTAACTCTGTAGTTATATCTATTTTTTCTAATCACATTACTTCTCTATTAGTCATATTCATAAATGACATCTATACAAAAATGATACTTCACTTACCAACACGGCCATGCACAACTAATGACATAAACAAGAAGCAGGCCTTCAAAATCATACGTCTCCTACTAAGCATAATATCCGAATGCTGAGCTTTGATTATAAAAAGAGGTAACCAAAACTAAATTATAAGTCACAACACTGAAGGGCCTGATGTAAACACAACCATAATAAAATGGGGAACAACCATACTCAGTACAACATAAACCATTACCCCCAAATAAATAATACACTGTGGGAATTCAATACACAGGTAGCTTTGTTCTGTACAATATCAAAATATCTGCTTCCAGAAAAGATCACAAACTCACAACCTACAGGTAAGATCTGACCTATCAATAAGCCCTGTTAATCAATATCACCATTAGTAGCACCAGCCATGTTGAAGGAAGCATTTTCCCGTCCACTTTTCAACATTTTCAACTTCAGGAACCAATACTGGGACTGATACGTTTGTGCCTGAAGCTCCTTTTCAAGGAGTTTCATTCTGATTTCATGCTCTCGTCGCTCTAATTCCAAACGCTGAGTGGCTAGTTTTGTATTCAATAATCTGTCTGTCAGTTCACTTGCATAATTTTCAACACTGTTAGTTGGAGATCCTAGGCCGCTGTTACCCTGCACAACACTGCTATGATTTAAATTCAGATTATGTCCAGAATTTACATTTTGAGAACTGTTTGAACTATGACCTCTGGTCTTTGAACTTAGTGAGTTGGATTTCTTCATGCTACTTTTCCCACTGCCTGATGACTGATGCTTGCCAGGTACCATTTTCTTCAAGCTTGGCATAGGTTTCATAGAATGCTGGATTGGTGAGCTTCCTGGTGATCCCAGCTCCTTACCATGAGTTCCAAAACTAAGCCCAGAATGACTGTTAGAGCTAATGGGGTTGGGAATATTGGTGATTGAGAGGCAAGATGCTAAGCCTTTTGGTAAAATTGGAATTTCTGAATTCGATGATGCATTAAGAGCAGATGAAGCATTGGAATGGTTCTTCTTTTTGATGTGCATGACCTTGGTGCAGGCAGGTATGTTGTATGGGAAGCTTCCACCACTGGAAGACTTGTGACCACCACTCTTTTTCGATGGAGAACGCTTATTTGCAGCTGCCAAGAGGAGGCTCGACAATTTGGGGGACTCCTGCCGAGCTTTCTTCAGAGCAGGTTCTCTCTCCTCCTCAGGTAGACCACTACTCAAAGCTCCTCCAGGATTGCTGGCTCCGTCCACCTCATACTCGTCTTCATCTGCTACAAAGGTAAAATTATCTGTACATGAATCAGTAAGAAATTTTTTTCTTCTGGTAAATGATAGGAATAATCACAATGGATATATACTTTAGAAGAAAGAAAAAGAAGGATAAATATGACAACTGAAAGTAATAGAAAGATAGGGAATTTATCTACTTTTTTTGTATCAGGTATAATAATAACATAAATAATTGAAACTACTAAGAAAAACAAATACAAATACATCCTAAGTAAAACTAAGTTACTTAACCCATTGCCGCCGGGGAAACTGAACAAAAAATGGGGGAAATTCTGTACTCATTTTTTTATATTTTTGTGAAATATCTCTGTGCATAGATGGCTCTGCTAGTCCTGATTTCACCTTTCCTTGAATTGGTGGGAAAAAATATATTCTTACAAGTGCTATAAATATAGATGGTGTTATTTTTGACAGCAAATTAGGATAACGTTAAATATTTTCGTAAATCGATGAAAAGGGTGAACGGGCGAGACAGGCAGTTCTCATAATTGGCTCATTAGTTACTTAGTACAAGTGTAGCCATCTATGTGTAAAAACAATTGAACAAGTCGACTCACAGTGGGCATGACATGTACGTACATGCCATCCCCGGCGGCAATGGGTTAAAGAAAGATGATCTTCAATAACTTTAAAAATGGCATTTATGTGTGTACTGGCTGTACTCTATCCAAATCTGTGGTGGAACTCTTAAAATCATAGGTCCAACCTAAAAGTGACAGTGTCAAGGGATTACTGTGGCTCTGAAGTATTGAGCAATAACCCTCCATGTATATTCTCACAAGATAGAACTTAGATTGACAAATTGCCATGAAGGCCTACAAACTGTATTTTCCCAGAATAATCATATTTGCCTGTCTGTTCTGATGCATGAACAGGTGTGGAGCCAACACAGAGGCCAGTGGCTGATGTTTGAGTATTAGTAAGACTTACCAAGAAAATTAAGAGAAAGACAGAAATTCAAAGTATACATG